AAAGGGAACCTTTACTACTGGAAGTCAAATCTGTCTATTATGTAATAATAAAAAGTTAGACGAAAGGGAACCTTTACTACTGGAAGTCAAATCTGTCTATTATGTAATAATAAAAATTTATACCGAAAGGGAACCTTTACGGGAATCTGCCACACAAGGAAACTCCAAAAGCAAAACAAAACAAGGAAAAGAAACTCGGGCGGTTCCATTCTCCTAACAAAGTCTTGGGACCCGGAGGGGCTGGCCGAGTTTGCAGTGCTACGCCCAAGCCGATGAAGAAGCAGGAAGGAGCAAGGAGGCTGGGTGTCCCTCCTTCGGATCCCCTTTCAAGAGCAGCGCAGCTGCATGACGGAGCATCGGGTTGCAATCCCCACCTGAGTCTACTCCATGTTTTCAGTGAGGTCCAGGAAAGGACCCTGGCTGGCTTGTATTACTGTATTAATAATGAGTAATGATTACTTTATTAATCAAGTAATAATTACTAATATCAATTACTGTATTAATACAACATTATTAATATTACTAATTAATAATACAATAAAGGCCTTGCCTGGCTATTGATTCCAGAGCTGTGGGAACAGCTGTTTCCTACGCTCCTAAAGATGGGAGGGGGGGTTAGGAGGCAGCAGCGCTGAGCTGGCTCCACATTCAGTCTGCCACCCTTCGCTTGGGATCCTGGACTGACATGAAGCATGGGCTGCATGGTTGAAACAGCTGGCTTGAGGAGGAACTTCTTTCCCCAATGCCCTGTTTTTTAAAATGACACCTTGTTCAAGGAGTTCTGAGGAATCCAAAAGTTTGCACGCCATTTTCAGTCCTAATAAAGACGCCACACTGCTGGGCATTGCACGTTTTTCCCACGGTCCAACACGGCTCTGCCTGCTTTTCAGCGCAATTAAGTGGGGGGGGGGGATTTTCCCAGCAACCTGCCCTCTGTGCCGCCTTATAGGCTCACTCTCATATTGATAAAAGGCACCATGGCTTCGGCCCCAGCATGCTGGG